CAAATAAATTTAATTAATATTATTATTAATTAAGAAAAAAATATATAAATAAATTATATTTAATTAAAAAAAAAACCAAAAATTGTATATGGAAGAGAGAGAGATAGCAAGAAAGTAGTAATTAATTAAATAGTTAATTTTAAAGCTTAATAATATACTAATTATGTAAATAAATTTAGCATACTATGCAATTATATTGCACAAAATCATAATAAATATTAAATTAATGAAAAAACCTCTAAAGTCATACACAGAAGAGAAAGAAAGAAAAAGAGAGAGACAATAAAAAGATATTAGTTAATTAAAGCTTAGTAATATATCTAATTATGTAATTAATATTAATAAATTATATTTAATTAAGTAAATAAATTATATTTAATTAAAGAAAAAAACCCTGTATATAGAAGAGAGAGGGAGAGCAATAGTAAGAAAAATAGTCTATTAAATAGCTATTTTTAAAGCTTAATAATATACTAATTTAAATAATTTATTAATAATTTATTAATAATAATAATTTTTTATTTATTAGATTATTAGGTAATAATAAATTTTTAAATAATATAGCAGATTACAGAAGTGTAGCTGTAGTATATTACCACTATGGAGATCTCGATGTATGATCCCTTCAGAATGAATTGACACAAGATCTGAAGCTATACAGTGCAATATGTTTAATTTAAGTTTCCAATTCATAAATACTATTTTATCGAGGTTTTGACGCAAAGAACCTTTTTTGGCGTATTTTAAGATCAAAATGTATTCTTCAGTTTTGTCATCTTTTGATATACCGTAGCATTTTAAAAATGATAGATTCTTATATCCGATCTCACAATATGCTGTTAACTTTAAAAAGTAATATGATTTAAGAAAAGCATTAAGAAAAAAAATATAAAATAAAAATGGTACCTCATTTAAATATTCTTGAAATTGCTTAAGTGCAAAATTGAGAGTTGTTGCAACTTGTCCAATTTTGTAATTTTCTTTTATTCTTGTCCATCTTGCTTTATATACAATGGCAAATCCTCCTTGTCCAATTTTTTCAATATTTGTGAGTTGATCGTAAGGAATCCAAGCTAATTGATATTTCTTATTATCTAACAATTTTTTAACATAATTATCAATATTAAGATTTTCATATGAGAATTTAATCGTTTCGTGAAATTTTTTTCTTTCCTCAAGGAACCAATAATTGGCTTTTTGTATATCTGTTTGTGTTCCGATTCCGTTTCAATAACAATTACCGAGAAGATTCATTGCTTCACTATCACCCATGTCAGCAGCCTTTTGAAATTGGGAAATGCCTTATCTTCATTATTTTCTACACTAATTTCATGTAAATAACATTGGCCAAGATTAGTTACACTAGGAACATAACCCATATCTGCGGATTTTTGATAATATTCAATTGCCTTATGCTTGTCTTTTCCTACTCCAATTCCACCTTGATAGCATACTCCAACATTATGTATTCCTAACTCATTACCTACGTCAGCAGATTTTTTATAATATTCGAATGCTTTACGTTCGTTCTTTTCGACGCCAATTCCTCTGTGATAACAAGAACCAATATTAGATATTCCATCAGCAAAGCCCATATCAGCAGATTTTTGATAATATTCAAATGCCTTCGTCCTTTTCAATCCCAATTCCATCTCTATAACAATTACCAGTATAATAAATTCCGTTAGCACTACCCATATCAGCAGATTTTTGATAACATTCAAATGCCTTATGTTCGTTCTTTTCAATCCCAATTCCAATTTTTATAACAATCACATTCCGTTAGCACTACCCATATCAGCAGATTTTTGATAATGAATGAATGCTTTATATTCATCCTTTTCAATTCCGATTCCAATTTCATAACATACCCCGAGTAAAAATATTCCATCAGTGTCGCCCATTTCAGCAGATTTTTGATAATAAATGAATGCTTTATATTCATCCTTTTCAACTCCAATTCCATTTTGATAACAGATACCAACATTACGCGTTCCTTCAGCATAATCCATACCAGCAGATTTTTGATAATAAATGATTTATCTTTTTCAATTCCTATTCCATTACAATAACAATATCCAACATTATAGGTACCTTCAGCATGACCCATATCAGCAGACTTTTGATAATAACAAAACGCTTTTTCTTCATCCTTTTTAATTCCAATTCCTTTCTCATAACAACAAGCAACATTAAATGTTCCATCAACATCACCCAAATCAGCAGACTTTTGATAATATTCGAATGCCTTGCGCTCATCCTTTTCGACTCTGATTCCATCTTCATAAAAATACCCAATTTTTAATACAGCATCTACATTACCCATTTCAGCAGATTTTTGAACATATTCGAATGCTTTACGTTTATTAATTTCAACACCAATTCCTTCATTATAGAAAATACCAACCATCAATAATCCATGAGCATCATTCAAGTCAGCAGATTTTTGATAATAAATGAATGCCTTATGTTCATCTTTCTCAACTCCGATTCCTATAAGATAACGTTATTTATTCCATCAACATTGCCAATTTCAGCATTATTTTGATAATATTCAAATGACTTTTTTTTTATCCATTTCAACTACTACTCCATTTTCATAACAATGACCAACGATATTTGTTGCTTCGGAATGGCGTAGTTCAGCAGCTTTTTTGAAACATTCGAACACTTTCTTCTTGTTATCGTTTCCATTTTCGTCCAAGAGTTTTATACCTTCTTCGAACAGTTCTTTAGCTTCTTCCATAATTTTTAAAAAAGATTTAATATGATTATTGATTGAAGATATATATTTACAATTCTGTCTCAATTTGACGTAGCGTCCTGGTCAAACTGAAATTTAGATACGGTTTTGCAGTTTAAATTTATCATTATACAGTATATTTATCAGGTTATAACTAGTTTATGGTGTATTTAAGATCTGCTAGTACGAGTATGAACATTTTGTTATTCAATAATTGGGCTTGCTTTCCGAAACGCAATCATCCATTGTTACGTACTTTTTTTCTCTTTCCTAATTTAGTTAGTCTTTCATTCGCCAGGTATTTAGCTTGGAAAGGAAAATTATTCGTAGAGTTCTGTAAGGATATAATTCTGATTTATTTGAGCCTTGAACTTAACCAACTTAGGAGAAGGCATTAACTATACCATTAAATTTTTTTGAATCAATTTATTTTCAAGAATTAGAAGCCCTGTAAGAAATTTTATCCGAATATCTCCATTATTTTTCCATATTTTTTTGTGAAAATTTCGTGAATCTGCAACATGATCGACAAAATCTAGACAAGCCGTGAATATGCAACATTTAGGAAAAAATATGGAATATTAAAGACGGATCAACTTTTTTTATAGGAAAGGGACACACCGCATGAATGTAACATTGACTTTTTTAAATCTTAGTAATAATAAAATTGGCTCTAAAGAAGGGAAACACTAGCTAAAAAAAACAACAGCTTTAGTTCATAGAATCTTGGTAATTTACTTTGTTTTGAAGAGGCAAAAGCTCTGTCTCTGTTCGAATACACACCTTTACTTTTTATTGAATACAGTAGATTCTCGCAATAGTCACATTCGAAATAGTCACAATCTCGCTATAATCACCTTATTTTTTTGTTCTTATATTAAATTTTTAACCATATTAGTCACAATTTCACAATAAGCACATAAATCATCGATTTTAGCATGTGACTATTGCGAGAATCTACTGTATTAACAGAGGCTCACTGTATTTTTGATTCCTTTGAATAGTAATTTACTTGGTTTGAAAAGAAAAGCACAACAGATATTCTTCACGAAAACATCATTCTAACAAAAAGCACAACAGATATTCTTCACGAAAACATCATTCTAACATATAATTTATTAAATTTTGGTGCTAAATTTGAGCAGGCATTCATTGTTAATGCAAATTCATTAAAATCTGATATTTGGAAATAAAAATATTAAAATTATTTCAAGAATTTACTTGTCTTAATGGTAAACGCACTAATTCTTATAATTGTCTAAATTTTTAATGTTGAAGAAATATATATAACAGATTGTTGTTTAAATATCGCATATTATTATTATTCTTATTATTATGTAGGAAATCAATAGCCCAAATATATGGGCTAGGTGCTGGAAAAAGAAACGAAAATGACAATTTTTTCAAACTAAATTTTTTTATATAAATTAATTTAGAATAAGATTAGAATCTTTTTTCACTTAAGACACAAAAGTAGTTGTGTTAATAAAATTTTGCAGTATAGCTCTTTAAAGTTTGTATTTTCTTATAATCTATTATAAGATTTATAACACAAAAATTGATTTTCTGAAGATCTTTTGTTTTGTCGATTTCGTTCCTTTTTCCAGCACCTAGCCCATATCATGGTTAATATACATTATATGCAGAAAAAGGCGTCAACTATTTTGCAAAACATGATTTTATCACTAAAAAGAAAACGTCTTATATTTTATTGTGATGAAATAGATTTCATACGAGGTTAGACTCTCTAAAATAAGGAGAGGTACATATTTGATCTTGTAACTTGATTTTAATTTATCAATACAATATTTTAGCGCATCTTTAAAATGAGTCGATTTGATAAAGTAGCTTCTCTTAATCTTTCGATTTTGAAAAAATAATTTAATTATTGACACAATACAGTATAAAATCATTTATAGCCGCAAAGATTTATTAACATCAACAATAAATGGAACAGAGAAATAGCTACATAGTTAGGTACAATTTATAAGAAGACAACCAGTAAAATATTGATGTAATATTGGTAAAGTAAATTGAAATGTTTGGTGAAAAGTAAAACATAATAAGAAATAAACCCAAACATATTTAATAACCGCAATTAAAGAAATGAAAAGAATATTAAGAATGTTAAAATAGCAACTATATAATTTGGTTAAAAAAGATAAATGGAAAGACGTATATTCAATAATAATTTGGTTGTCTTAATTATTGCATATCCTTAACATCTTGAGTTTCACCTCTTGAAATTCAGACGACTTTATTTTTTTCCACTTGATCTCGTGGTTCTTGTCGAAGACCTTCTAACAGTAGAAGTCTTTTTAGGAGTTTTCGAAGTAGAAGGCTTTTTAACAGCTCTAGTTTTAGAAACCCTTTTCTTATCTTTTACGGTAGGTGTCTTTTTTGTGGTCTTAGATTTAGGAACTTTCATTTTAGCTCTCTTAGAAGATTCATCAGCCTTAGACGCAGCTTTAGGTTTTTCAACTTTTTTCTTGTCAGTTTCCTTTTTAACGAGCTTGATAGTACCCATTGGACCGTTAACAAATTCAAACATTCCATTATCGACACCTTTATTAAGTGCTTTACGAAAACTTGAATTAAAGACAGAATTATCTTCGATGTTATACGTATTAGAAATATATTTCTTGATAGCTTGTCGACTACTTCCTTTACGATCTTTCAAAACAATAATAGCTTCACGAATCATTTCTCCATAAGTTGGTCTCTTAGAACTTGTATTTGCTTTAGCAGACATTTTTATTTTTTTTTCGTTTGTTTTAGTTTAGAGTAAAAGATTGTCAACAAAATTCGAAAAAAAAACTTTTTGTTGATTTAATATTTTTTGATTTGTAAACATTATATAGGTGATGTCATTTTTACGTTGTTTTGATGTATTATGTAAGCAATGCATATCACGGGTTGATTAAGATTTGAAACCATGTTATGAAACTTTAAATCGTAAAAAAAGATCATATATTTCACTATCAGAATATATATTAATATGATAATTACACATTATTTACAATCAAATTACGTATTAATGCAATCAAATTACTTATTCGTACTTTAACTTAAAATTTTACGTAAACAAATGAAATACATATATAATTAAATTTTAAACTTTCAAAATGCAATATTTATCTATTTTGCATTATTTATTACTAAATATGCGTGAAATATGTATTGCTGATTATTACAACTTTAATTCTATTATATAAAATTTTTTATTAACTTACATAATCATTGAAATCTTTTAATATAAGTAAATTTATTGAAGTTAATTGACTGACAATGTTTTTATATAATGTAGCGATTTAATTTTGCGTTTGTTTATCGTATGTTTCGGATTTATAATAATTACCATTTTTTTCGGTTTCGTTCATAATTTATGTAAATGTTTCAAATTATTATCCTGAACTTCTTAATGATGTATTTAATAAGTTGGTTAAATTTCCTGTATTCGCCATTTTGGATATTGTTCTAAATTGTTAAAACTAAAAATATTGAAATAATTTTAAAACAATAGATTTACCATCAACTTGAGATATTATTATATAGATATCGAATAATTTTTTCTTAAAATCCTATAATTAGCAACATTAATTTAATAAATTTTATGTAAAGGTATATTGGAAAGTATTGATACATCATTTGTTTTATAATCTAATGCTTGTTACTTGCAAGTTCCTTGACTTGAAGCTCATTTCATTTAAACAAAAGATAACTTATATCTTTTAAATTTACCCTTATTTTTTTAAAATGTTTCCAAATAATCTGCGAAGAGTACAAGGTTGATGAAATGTCATTTTAGTAAGTTACCCAGTTAAAAGTTTTTCATTCTGACGGAACTTTTAATTTTGCAAAATATATATATTTAAATTATATATAAAATATACCGGTAAATAATAATTGGTTTTTATTATGTTATATTAATAATATCTCACTTAGCATATTTTTAACAGCTAATAAATTTTTTTTAGATGAAAAATTAATGATAAATATTTATAAATTAAGGTTATAATAAATAAAATTTAAAATAGACAAATTATATATAAAATTGTCAAAGAATATATTTTACTAGTAAATAAAGAATAGTTTAATAATAAAAATGTAGAGCTATAAATAATTTACAATATTTTAATAACTTATATTTTATAAATATTCTAACAGCTTAGATATTATTATGATAACAGTAAAATAAAATTATTTTTACAATATCTTTATAATGCATTTAATATATTTTTATGATATTTATATTATATATTATTTTGATATTCCTTCTAAATATTATTAAATTTTATATGAAATAATTTTTTTGATGACTTTTTTTAAAATAAAGTAAAATAGTAAAATTTATCAACAGATTTTCAAAAATAGAAACAATTAATTCTAATAAATAATAAATAAATAAATTCTCAGTTTTAATACTTTCTATACTTACTAATAATAAATTAAAATTTTTTATTTTTTTATTTTTAATTATTCATCTGTTTCTTTTTTTATCACATATTACAAAACGCATCTACAATGATTTTGCTCCTATTACAAGTTATTATATATTTTCTGAGTTTTTATAAGTTTTGTACATAATATGTATTTTTGGCACAAATTTTTCATGTTACTGTTAGTATTTAGTGTTATAATTAAGGTTTAGAGAGGGTTTTTTGGGACGTAAAGTATTATTTAGAATACTGCATAGCCAGTTTTTAATGTAATACAACATAGATAGTAAAATACCATAGGTGTATTTTAGTAAAAGTGTTTTTTATTATTTCTTTAATTATTCAAATTTATTTTTTAGCTGTTAAAAGGTTTTATAATTAAAATGTGTAAATCTAATTTTGATTAATATTGAAAATGTATTTGTTTTCAAATAAGGTTGCATCAATTTTTTATTTTATTTTTTGATAGATTTGAATTAATGACTGGTAAGTTGAATTTGGTCATTTATAGGTCCCGTCCGTTTGGCTCGGATGTGTGACAAATCATTTATGTGAAGAACTAATTAATTGTATTGGTAAATTATTATTCATTATGTAGGATGATTCGTCACACTCCTGTGCTAAATAGAAATAATAAACTTAATCCAAAGTAATTCATCAAATGGAAATCTTTAAAGCTTTTATTTCATTTTCTGATTTCAAAATTTTGATAAACATATAAGATTTTAAATTCTTATTTTTTCCATAATATGCTATTTTTTTATAGCGCTTTGCAAAAAGTTGTAAACATGTGATTTTAGTGATAATGATGGCTGAGAATTACTAAGATTCCAGATTGTCCGTTACTTTATATTTTCGATTTGTTACACTTATATTTCTTTGAAATCAGTTTAATTCTTAAAATCTCAAAAAATTTATAAAATCTCCGATTCTTATATGAAAAAATGATCTGCAGTGTTCACATCTTTTTGCAAAGCACAATAATTTAGAAACATCTTATTTTTTATTGTACTTTTTAAAATTTTAAATTTTGTATTTTTTGTTTTTGTTATCTTATTTAATAAATATTTGTAATCAAATGCATCAATTATATTATCTTTTTTATTAAAATTTATTGATTACTACAAAAAGATAAATGATTAATTCATACAATTATTCAAGAGAAAAAATCAAAGATTATGATACTTGAGCACATGGTCCATATTTACAAAGGTCTAAAATAAAGAAAAATATAAAAATCTAATATAATAGACTTATGCATATATATACGTATACATATTTATATTTAAAACTAGTCTTATATGTTAAATGCTTAGTTCTTCTATTTTATTAAAGAACAATTAGTAATATCATGTTAGAATCGCGAATAGCTCAATTTTTGGTTCATATTATGATTTAAAAATGACAATTGTATTTAATGCATGCTTACACTGATTTTACTTGAGGTCTAATTTGGCATATGAGATTAAAGTTTTTTTTTTTTGGAAAGCATTTTTTACCTTTTATTTTTTTGTTATAGTTAAATTAGATTTGTGTTTGAGTTATTAATAAATAGTATGGATAGATTTGGTAGGGCTTATATTTCAAAAAATCAGCATCAGCCAAAATCAGTATCATCCATAGAATTTTAATATACTTGATGGCATGATTCATTTTGACTTGTGAATCTTACAGATCTTAAAATCTTGAGTTATTTAAGTATAAGTTAAAGAAGTTTAAACACCAAATGACAACTATGGATAATAGTCTATTTTATTAATACTGTAATTTGAGTGATGTTTTCACCTAACTAGATCTGTTATAGAACCAGCTTTTATTTTCATACTAGAACTGTTATTTTGATATTCACTCAAAAATGGTTAAATATTTATTCTATATAGTAGTCATTGTTAAAAATTATTATATCTTTTTTTTTATTAGGTAGTACAGATATTATGTAATATTTTTTTACTATACTCTCTGCCCCTCCCTCCACATAAGAAAGATTTGGTTGGCTATTATAAATTTATATTTCTACGTAAGAAAATCAGAGACCCCCTCCTCCCTCAGAATATTATATAATATCTGTTATTACCCTTACTATACTGTACATAACTCTTAGCAACATTATCCTGTAACCAGAGTAAAAAATTCAGCTTGAGAAGTATGTATGTACTTATATGATCACATGATTTCTTTATATTAAAATAAGAAAATTTCATGTGTGATCCGCACATGCGCACATCGAATTTTTCACCCTGCCTGTAACATATATTGTTAAGATTCATAACTTTATCTTTCATAAAAACATGTCTCAATTGGGTAAAACCTGATAAATTAGAAATAGATTATATTAATATTGCTTAACTAATCTAGTTGATAGGTTGCTTATTTTTTCTCTCAATAAAAATTGATTACTAAAGACTTAGTAAATGAATTTCATTCTCTCATGGCCAACTATTAGATTGACAGAAATTCAACACTTGACAAGAAAAAAAAAAAGTCTACAGAAAACACTTGAAATATAAAAATTTCTTGAAAGAAATCTATCTGAATTCCAAACAATATGAATAAAAATAAATAATATATTACACAATCTACAACAATTAATTACTATCAAAATGATAGTGAAGATGAGTACAATGATGATAATCAAATTTATTATTCCTGCAAATATACATTAGCTAATGTGATATTATATGCTAAATATAAAAATTGCAAAAATTCAGAATTAAAAAATTTTTAGCCATCTCAATATATTTCTAAAAAAAGGATGTCAACTTATACAAGCCATGAAGATTTCCCTTTAATTTTAATTTAGTTTTAGAATTCAGGAAATTGAATCTAATTTAGACTCAATTTTTGGTTACTGTATTGAATTTTACAAACTAGTAACTAACATTATTTAAATATAGCAAAGAAATGAATAAGATAGTTCGTTGAACCAGTTTAAATAATATTAATTAATTAGATAAATCTTATCCTATGCAATATCAAATATTTTTTTTATTCTAAATAGTTCATGTAATTTATTATATATATATTATTCTATAAATATTGAAATCAAAAATTTAAAATCACTCTTTCCGCTGATTATCGTTACCGTTTTTGGACTAAAGGAAAAAAACCCAATTTAGGCCAGTTCTAGACTAGAAAACATTACTAAATAGACTA